GGAGACGAATTTCGACCTGCCACCGCACCAGATGATGGTTTATGATTTTATGTGCAGCAGCCATGGTGGTTCTGTTATTACATAAATTTTAGATGATATAGTTCTGAGGTCTACGTAGATTGGAAGTGTCAAAACTGTTCATATTTTGGGTTCCGTGAACAACGGGATCCTATTACTAAGACTTCGCTGTCTGTTTGTTCGTCTGAAACCGGGCTTTATCTCATGAACCGTGTTAATAAGACTGTTGAAATTTTCACAGATAATATATTTCTGTTGATGCTATAGCAACAAATACTTTAATATTTGTTGCTATAGCAGCAACAGAAATACATCTACAAAAAAAACGATTTCTGGTTTTACCAGTCCAGCTATTTCCAGTGTAAAAAGATGGGAACTAATCAGACGACGAAAAGGAAACACGCGTCATTAGATTTCATTTAATTACTTAATGTTATGCAATCTGTAAAAGGAATTATTAGGACTTATTATTTATATATAAAGGAATTATTAATTTAATTAGGACTTTTTAATTAAATTTTAGGAAGGCACATCATTATAAAATCGGTGCGAAAAATATGGTACTCTACTTGTTACTGAATATCCCATTGTCAATTTTTGAAATGTAAAGGTTAATTATTTGTATTCACATTTTTTGTTCCGATAATTATGCCGGTATGTTTGAACGTAAGAAAAGAGTAAAGAAAAGAGAAAAACCCGCCAGATAACACTACACACACAGTTAGTGCACAGCGGCCTTCAAGCACGGCGAAACCAACATAACGCGTACACTAGGTACACCTGCGTTCAAGGGCGGTTCTCACCGCTCCCAGCCACCAACTAACCAAGCACAGTCAACGGCTATCCGGGTCACGGTCCGCACCGAACCTCGATAACCCGTAGGCGACACTCCTTAGCTAACGCACGCATGAGTGGCCACATGCGTGGCCCTACCAACTGTGGAGGGCCTCAAACCCGAGGGTTCTGGCTAGCCCACCGGTTCTGGGTTCGATGAAGCTTTAATAGTCTCGGGACTGAAAGCGTTTTTTTTTAACAAACTAACTACAGACTCGCAGTCCGTACTCTTTTTTGATTAACATGTTTTTTTTTAATTTTCTTTTTGTGCTGTCACCGCCGCATACATCATCCGGGCTAGAAACGGTGCAACAGGGTCTGCTGACGCTTTGCCAACTTTCTCATTTTGCCTACCTTTGTAGAGTTAGTACAATCATTCCCATTTTGGGTAATTTTTCATATATTCATACTAGTAGTTACCATGTCGCCAACTTTAATATATTTTTCTCTTTGTATTCATTTTTTGCCCACGTTTTTTAACCAACGTAACAAATGTCTCGCTTTGCCATCCAATTGAAATTCACAAACAAAAGTGAAATAAAACTTTATATGAAAATAACTATATGAATGTGAATTATGCGAATTTCTGGATCCTTGTACGCAATCGCTATGCCATTCAGTAACAAAAGAATGATTATAATCACAATTTATATAAAAAATTCGGAATTTAGTAAGCATCATCAATTTTATATAATATGCATATTCTTAACAGAATAGCATTAGCATTTCCTTCTTGGAACACATGTGCCTTTGTTGTACCATGTTTCTTTTTAATCTTTGCGGGTATTTAAAGCTAACTAACCCTGTCGCCTTCTTGAGTGCTTTATATTCCAGTATCGTTCTTAATTTAATAAGAAATAGGTACACATTGATCTACGAAACTCATTTTTCACCACATCAGACCCTTGTTCTTAATTTAAATATAACATAATAAAAGTTATTTGTATCTTCGTAGTTTATAATGTTTGTTTAACTATTTACGTCATGTTAGCACAGTGTTCAAAACTGGATTTAAAATGTTTAAAATTAGGTGTTAGGTGCGCAAATACAAAATGCTGAGCTGTGAATGAAAACATCATGAGGAAACCTGCATATTTTCAAAATAACAAAAGAAATACATCGAAGATATGTGAAGTCCGCCAATCCGCAGTGGGGTAGAGTGGTGGACTATGCGCTTAGTACCCTCTTACTTTTACTATCGGTTCTGAGCTCCTATATGGAGCCATTGTCATTTCAGCTAATCTTTTAAAATATTTCAGCTCGTTAATTGCGGCACCAGGCCCCAAACTCAGAGTATACATCCCAATTATTAAATATAACTCTACCTTTTGTTGTATGTGTATGTGCGCGGCAGATTCTATTTGGACCACGAGTGGGCAGGCTCGTCTAGGGAAGGCCTCAGTCTCCTAGAAAAGACCAATTTATAAAGTGTTTTTACTTTTGCATTTCGTCTGGTAAATGATGTCACCAGAACCCACTTTTGAAGTATCTTGTATTAACTGATGTTTTTGCTTTCAGTCCCGAGACTATTAAAGCTTCATCTGACGCAGAACCGGTGGGCTAGCCAGAGCCCACGGGTTTAGGGGACTTTTGAAGTGTTGTAGCCGTCTATGTTCGGCAGAAAGTACTTCGGGTGGGTTGGGGGCTTCTCTTATGCAAATTTCCCCTCATAAGAGCTACTTGTGGCGACAATAGGCATCACTTAATATCGGGAACCATCAAAAATTATGAGTAACACAAATATTATTTAATCTTTATTTAGTGATATAACACAGGTTGATTGGTAGTAGCCATCAGCGCCAACTGTCTTCCTTTGTGAAAGATGGATGACATTTACTTCTGCAGATCCAAAATCGTAGTCGCCAAATTTATTTAAAATTTCTGAGCCATCAAATGTTTCCCAAATATTCCTTCTAGTTGGTCTTTTGTCCACCTCATCCTCGGAAGATCGATATTTAAATTTTGAGTTCATTAGAGTCACATGCAGTTTAACATTGTCTCGACCATATTCCCCTTTTTCCACGAAACCTATAAAGAAATAAATGTATTTCAATACTATTTCAAAAATTTATGAAATAGTATAAACAATGTTATCAATACAAAGTTGTCCCGCTGTCTGTCTGTTCATATGTATGCTTAGATCTATAAAACTACGCAACGGATCTTGATGCGTTTTTTTTTTACTAGATAGTGATTCAAGAAGAAGGTTTATATGTATAATTAAATACATTGCATCCGTGCGAAGCCGGGGCGGGTCGCTAGTTATACATATTTCTTCTTTAAGTTGAGAAGCAAAACTTTTCATAGCAAACTGCCTTAGCACCTTTAATTTAAAAAAAATATTTCACCTTGAATAGTCATAAAAAAGCATGTATGACTGTGGGTTCAAAAATACGCAACATTATAAAAAAATCATAATTTTAATCATCGGTAAATATTTTTACTTTTCTACATAATCTCCATCTAATTATATCTTCATTGAGAAGAAAAAAATGGTTTACTGAGGTACTCTTACTAAATAAAAAAAAACTAAATGAAAAAATAAACAAAATCGCGTTCTTTCATACGAGATGCCTACAGTGGTAGAAATCTCATGAATATAATCAATCTATGTCAACCCGAGATAAGACAATATATAGCTAGCTGTGCATGGGAAAATCACTGCTTTCTCACGACAATACCCACCAGAGAAAATATTTGACCCTGGGACTTATTAGTGAGGGCAAAGGAGATCTTTACAGGATACTGTAGCCCTTTAAACGGTACGGGTAAATCAGTCAGATTCATGGGTATCCGCGGAATATAAGCCAGATTTTCCACTGCTGGCTTTGTGAGAATGGCAATTTGAAAATTCTTAAGGAATCGTGCACTGTATCCCCAATAATACATATCAACCGTGTCAACTATATCATTCACTGTATCGTTTCTGGGTGACGCTATTGCCCTACAAAAGAGCCAATCATAATCTTTATCAATAAATTTTCAAGACCGGGATATATTGCGTATCATATGTTCTAACATATTTAATATTTGATCTAATCTATCGTTAAGTTTAATGTCATCGCTAGTGCTGTTGGTGTTAGTACAGCTTTTTTTTCCTTCTTCAAGATTCAGTAGTTGATGCGGAAAGTCGTTATCGTAGTTGTCGCTCAAATGGGCTCCTGTTTATTCGTAAATTGAAAGTTTTAACGGAAGTCCAAATAAGTAACATGATTTTATGCATGCTGTTTAAGATTCGGGTATTAAAATTCCAAACAACTCGTAGGTTTTCACTGGTGTATAATTAGCGTAAGAAAGACGCAATTATTTAAAGAAAACTTTACAAATTAAGTACTTTAATGTGATTGGTTCATGTATCACGTCATAGGCGGTGCCGGTGATTGGTTGGATATGACGTGATACACAGATGATAGTAACGGCAGATGGCTTCTTCGTTCCTAACACGGATGGCGCTACAGGCGCCGTAACATGCCCCCAGCCTTGGAAGCACCTGCTTCCGAAACGGAACGTCGTTGACTGGTCACCGAAACACGGACAGATCTTGGTGACAGTGCGTCTGACAATTCCAGAAGAAGTTCGGATGTCTGCTACTCTTACTACGTCATCCTTGCCGGCGATCGTCCTCTCCACTCGTCCCAAACGTCATTTCAACGGCGGTAGGTTGTCGTCTTTGATAACAACAAGCGTATCCGGTTTTAATTCCGATGCATTTTCTCGCCATTTGCTTCTTGTTTGTAATTCTGAAACATATTCCTTAGCCCAACGAGACCAAAAATGCTGTCTTAACTGCTCCACTCGTTGGTACCGGGTGAGTCGCTTAATGGGCTGATCCATAATGTCAGTACATATAGACGCTGTGAGCGGGCGGCCAACCAGGAAATGAGCGGGACTAAGAGGACAAAGGTCATGAGGATCTGAGGACAAAGGGCTCAATGGACGGGAACTTAGGACGGCTTCCACTTGTGCTAATACCGAGGTTAACTCCTCAAAAGTCAAGTGAGCATTGCCTAAGACGCGGAGTAAATGGTATTTACATGATTTTACTCCTGCCTCCCAAAGGCCACCAAAATGAGGTGAATACGGGGGAATAAGTTTAAATTCTATATTTTGACTAATTGCGTATTCAATGATGTCAGGTGAACAACTTAATTAAAACTACTTATAGTCATTCATTAATCCTACAATTTTTTTTCCGTTCTCTGAAAATATTACTTGCGGTTTAACTCTTCGTGAAATAAATGGTTTCAAGGCTAACAGATATGCATCGGAAGTCAAATTGCTAACGAGTTCTAAGTGAATTGCTCGTAAATGAATAAGTAGATGTACGCCTTTGTGGTTTTGGCAAGCCCTTCCTGTTCGGTTTAGTACGAGCAAAGGTCGTGCGTAATCGACTCCACTACGCAGAAACGGATAAGTTGGTGTGAGCCGCTCTTCAGGTAAATAACCCATAATTGGGCTTACAGTTTCACCCTTTATGCGAGTACAAATAATAGATTTATGTACTATTTTTCTGGCGAGATCACGCCCCCTTATCGGCCACTAGCGGTCACGTATTGCGAATGAATAGAAGTGCCTGCGGCGCTGCGTGCAGCAATTGCGCATGTTCGTGTCGAAAAATCAAAACTGAAAAGTGATGTTTACCAGATATTAATATGGGATGCCTTTTATGATAATTAAAATTTATTGAATATTCGAAACGACCGCTTACTCTAATTTATTTGTCGTTATCAATAAATGAATATAATTTATCTAAATATTTTTTAGATTTTATTTTTCCGGTCTCTAATAAAGACATAGTCCAGTGGGAACGATTCTAATTGCGGAAGTCTAGCCAACAACCTCTCGGATTCCCTCAACTCATCCACACTAAGCGCGTCAGATCGTTGATTACCTTTATTACGCGATTTATGAATAAAGCGAAGTACATAGGCTGCAGCCCGCCGCATACGACTGAATTGACAGAACCTCGAGAAAGGGAATAAATACCAACTTTCTTCGTCTCTTTTCCTACTAGAAATGAATGTATAGCACTAAGTTTGGTTTCAGGTAAATCTCGTGTTGTGATGTATATTTTAGCCGCATCTGATATCGAACTAGGGCTAAATTCGGGAACACGAAGAAAAACAGGACCATCCCACCATAATGATGACACCGAAGTCAGCTAAATTGACACCGCAAGAAACTAGATCCGCTGGGTTGTCCTTACCACTGATATGGTGCCATGGAGGGTCCTTGTAAGCAGACGCAGAGGCAGTCCCATATGTAACGGTATTCAAACGATATACCTGAATGAGTTGCGATGAATCGTCTCGCCAGAGTATCAACTGTAAATCGCGTTGATTCGGCGCAACAAGTACTTGCCTATACATTTTTTCAACATCCGCGCAGGCCGTATACTATACTTATACTGTCGAAAGCGCAACGATATAGCGAACAAGTCTCCTTGTATTGGAGGACCTACTAACTGGATATCATTTAAGGATTTTCCGGTTGTGGATGGAGCACTAGCATTAAATACCACTCGTAATTTGGTAGTAGTGCTATGCGCACGGAACACACCATGATGAGGCATGAAAAATGGGGATTTCCATATAGCTTTACGGGAGTCATGAGACCTAAGTCTACGTATTCATGAATGAATTCCTTATACATGGCCTTGTAACTAGGTGATCAATTTAGTCTTTTTTCTAATGACAAAAATTGACGCTTTCCTTGAGAATACGTTTCACCTAAAATATCCGCTGGCTGTCTGAGTGGAATGTGAACGCAAAATCTTCCGTATTAACAAATGATTTTTCACATTCCATCTCATTATCGGATAGCGTATTTTGAGCCTGCGGTATTTTTTCCAGCTCAAAAAACCGTCATAGTTGCGCGTCTATTTCCTGTAAGAAATGGCATAGAATAGGTCTACTATAGTGCGTTTTAAAATGTAAAGGGCCTGAAACTATCCATCCTAAATGAGTATTTTGAAGAAACAAACCGTTTGATAAACGCATTTTGCCATCAATAAGTAAGTCCCAGAAAAGATCTGCGCCTATTAATATGTCTATGTACTGAGAGTCATAAAATGATGGATTTGCTAGCTGAACATTGTCGGGTATTTTGAATCGTGCGCTTAGTATGTTAACAGGTGGCAATGTTGACGTGATTTGCGGTCAAACGCAACATTGTATGCGCGTGGAGTAGTTTTTTATGCGCGATTTAATTTCAATACTACAGATCTGCGTTGACTGCGATACTGATATACCTACCCCCTTAATTTCGTTAGTGGACTGTATTAAAGGAATGAGTAATATTTTTGAGAAAGATTCTGTGATAAAACATCTCTGACTGCCGTTGTCAAGAAGTGCGCGCGCTAAATGATATTTATGATTTTTATCTGCTATCTCAACTAATGCGGTCGATAACAAAAACAACTTGTTGCACACTTAAATCTGCTTTATTGCTATGCACCTTATTTAAGTGAGTGGGTACGCTGACTTCATTGATACATTCGGTAGCTGCGGGGACAGAGAGGGGCGCAAGAAATGTTTGCGAGCCAGTCGATGCGCTCGACTCATTAGTTGTTGAGTTCGATTGCGCTGAGAACGGTCACTGCAGAGTTATGTAATTCGTCATTACGTATTAGCGAATTATGTTTAAGAATAAAGATGATGTTTACCGTTACACAATAAACATAACTTTACGCGAGAAAGGTTTTGATTGTCGTGCGGCTTATTGCTGGAAACATTGCAGTGCACCTTAGCGTTATTGTGTGCGGTTGTAGTGAATTGTTTTTTGTTGTAAATAACTTTACTGTGCGAAACTAACAATGTAACTAGCATCTCTGCCCGCCATTACAAAAATTGAATCAAGTCTTTAATTTTTAAAGCTAACTTAGAAACTCCAGCTTTTTGACTTAGTAGTTTTATTGTGTATTTATATTGTTCCCACTCGCGTTCAATAGTTTGATCTAATTTAGAGACCACCATGTAAATAATTAAAGTGCTCCAAGAGTCAGTCTGCTCGCCTAATATTTTTAAAGCACGTAATTTTTTATAATATCGTATCTATCAGACACCGTAAGGAATTAGGGGACTCCTTTTTAATCGTTTCAATGGAAAATAACGCTTTTACATGATTGTGCACCAATAATGACGAATTGTTATATCGATTTAAAAGCAACTCCCAAGCAACAATACAGTTATCGGCGGAAAACTCCAAAGAATCTCACTGATTCAGCGTTGCCTTTCAGTGACGATTTTAGGTAGTAAAATTTTTGAATATCGCTTATTTCATTAGATTTGTGCACTAATGATAGAAACGTGTCTCTAAACTCTAACCAATGCTCGTACGTACCGTCAAAAGTGGGCAAGGCAATTGTTGGCAATTTAACCGCTTTGTGAATATCGTTACACTTGGAACTCTCAGCAACTTTACCGTTATCTAATAAACACTCAGCTTGAGCAAATGCGCTATAGTAACAATCTTTAAATAATTCGCGCTCAGACAACTGTTTCTCCAAATAGGATTCAGGTACTAGTTCTTCGATTTTAGTTTGAAGATTGTTAAATTCAATAAAAAGACATGTAATTCCCTGAACACGAAGCTTTAAATCGACACGTAATTTTTCAGAGAACAAATCATAACTTCCTTTAATATTGTTTAAATAATTTGTAAACCTAGTAAGTCTACTCTTAACTATGCCTCGCTTTTTATTTAATTTGCATAAAAGAATAGACTGATCGAAAGATGAATCATCACTTTCTATTCTCAGTTGAAAAGGGGGATTTGACCGTTCCTTGCTTAAACTATTAGTGCTCATTTTGGTAACCAATGGGAAATATAGGAGTACTCACGTTTACAGTGATCTGCGAATGCAGCCGGTGCTATCAACGACACCCAGCTGATGATCACTTACACAAATGAGACTCGACGCACGTAACACTGGAATTAGCAATAAGCACTAGTATTAGACAGGTGAAAACCTAGGTTTGGAATGTTTTAGATGGCTAGCCGTACCGTTCGAGTTTGTTCTTCTGACGAGGCGAAGATCACGCAGTATTGGCAAACGATACTGTATCTTCTCAGTCGGATAGTTTCTTAGCCAATATAATTCAGCAGGCCGCTTCTGTCCGTAAATTTGGCGCAGAAGGATCAGATATAGAAGATTTGGGTATTAAAATTCCAAACAACTCGTAGGTTTACACACAGATGATAGTAACGGCATATGGCTTTTTCGTTCCTACTACGGATGGCGCTACAAGCGCCGTAACACTAATGATTTCGGCGCGTGTTTCTTTTGTTATTAAAGGCAGTGTTTGCCGAAAATCGCCCGCAAAATAAAAGTAACACCACCCATAATATCTTATCACTCACTACACATAAAATCGGTTCAGTGGATCCAGAACCCCAACGACGTCACAAACTCACCAACTTTACCTCTCTATAACATTAGTATAGATAGTATAGATTATCTAAGTAAGAATAATGATTGGCTCTTTTGCTTGTTAATTTGGAATCATAAAAGTTCACGAATTATAACAACAAAGCTACTCTATTCTTTGCTTTCATAAAATCGCAATATGTTTTCTCTATGAACACTACAATTCCGATGATTACAAAAATTAAAAACCAGAAACAAATCACAGACTTCATCATTGTATTTTTAAAATCTGTCAATTAAGTTAAAAATAGTTAAAGTTTTAAACTTTTACTTCTTATATATTCCAAAACTTGCTGATGAATGTTGAAGAAAAAGGTGGAATAATTAGCCCTTCTGATAAGCACAATAATCAGATGTACAACGACATGTAGATCTATTGTAGTCTTCCCTTAAAAAAACATTGCCCCATAACTGTAGAATAAAATTATTCTGTGTTGTGAGGATGTTTTACATTCATAAATTTCAAGTTTCAAGAGCCGTGATAGCTCAGTGTCCGGGCGCTCGCCTTTAATTCAATATACTCGAGCAATCTGAGTTCGATCCCCGGTGCCGGCACCAATGAAGTTTTTAACTTTAAGTGCTGACTTATCACGTGCTCCGCGGTGAAGGAAAACATCGTGAGGAAACCTGCATATTTTCGAAATAAAAAAATTTTTTTTCGAAGATATGTGAAGTCCGCCAATCCGCAGTGGGGCCGCGTGGTGGACTATGCCCTGATACCCTCTGTATAGAGGAGGCCTTTGCCCAACAGTGGGACATGTATAGGCTGTTACTTTTTACTTTAAATTTCAAGTGGACGAACACCTTGATTCAAAGCATCTGTGATTCATACAAATAGTTGTCTCATGTGCAAATCGAACCCACGATCCCCAGCGCCGATGCCAATACCTTGACAACTGCGCTCAGGAATCATCTTACAGCAACCATAAGGCATATAAGGCATAAGCATACCTTATTTTCATGCCCTTACCAAGGTACATAATGTACGGTTTTTAGTGTGTAAATCTGTTCACATTCCCTCTCTGCTCCCGTACGTCGGACACGATTTTAGGTCTCGGGTTCGATTCCGAGCTCATGTGCAAGAATCACTGTCTCACATTTAGCCATACATCTTGCATGAAATAGATCATACTGTAGAACTAGTACATATAATTTATTAAGTTGAAAACTGTAACTTAAGACTACTATTATATGACCATAGATTCAAAACTATTCTTATCGTGGGTCATCAATAATCATTTAAAATTTCAAAGTTTTAAGCAAAAGAATAAATATTTATTAGGATAATACCTGCATTAGAAAAATATTCTACTAAAGCGTCGGCTAACTTTTGAGTCATACCATGCTCATCTTGAACACATCCATATAAAATTTTAATATTCTTCGGATCATCATTCATATAAGACAGACCTTTTATTTTTATCCTCAGTGGCAAATGATCCTTAAGCAAAGGCCTAAAAATAATATAATATATTTAAATGAATATCGGCAGCAAAAAAAATATTATATAGACTTAAATAACATTCTATCTTTACATAGTATTAAACATTCGTTCCAGATGTTTGTACGCTTAGATCTTTTAAACTACACAACTGATTTTAATGTGGTTTTCAGAAATAGATAAAGTGATTCTAGTGGAAGGTTTATATGTATATGAAGTTTTATATATACATGGGTATTATAGTACAGAAAAGCTAATATTATAATATTACATAACACTAATATTCAATATCTACATTGCACCCATGCCCAAACCGGGGCAGATTGCTAGTTAATAATAAACCCTTACATAAGAATGCTATCTTTGGCATTACATAACAACTTTGACACTTGTTGCCGCTCTTCTTGATCCATCAGACACATCACTCCAATGGTGATATGCAATTTCTGCTGTTCAATAAATATAGCTTCTTCAACTCCTCTATTATTGCATTCTTGTAGAACTTGTTGCTGACAAACAATAAATACATGAGGACTTAAAGGTTAACTTACCAAATTTTTAAAATATTATCAATAATAAATGATTACAATTTACTTTGCATCAAATCTATGAACAACTGTAAATAAATATCTCAGTCCCAGAAAGGTGGGAATACTCAGATTTTTACTACATGTTATTTTCCAACAAAATCTATATAATTATATTTTGTATTATTCAGATTGAAATTGATTTTATTAAATATATATACAACCTTGAAACTTTCAAAACTTTTCATTATATGCGGGTCATTTAAGGGTATTGAAAGAAAATGAGTGCATCTTTGCTTCTTTCTTGAAGATATGACAATTATGTTAATTCTTCTGCATGCAGCTTTCACATTCTAAAAGCAATAAGTAACTTTTCATAATATAATTATAATTTAACAATCATGTGTATAAAAATTGACTCACAGATATGCTTGGACCAAGGATAGTAACATTACCCGCTTCTCCCATTCTAGGTATTTTTATGATTGTTCTTGTGTCCCTTTCAATTCTATTTTTCATGATCCCTTTTTTACCTATAATAGAGCCAATGTAATGCCTAGAAATATATATATTTTTTTATATATCAGGTACTACTTTCAGTGGTAAAAAATTTGATATTTTTAATTTCTAAATACGCACTTGGAAATGTGAAAACTTGAACTATATCTACCATTGCCAACTTCAATTATCTCAAAGTTATCATCTAATTCATCATCATCTACACCTCGGAACTCCATTTCTGTAAAACCAATAAAATAAACAATGTTGATTAAAATACTTGTCATAAATTAAAATACATTTTTATACTTTGTTCAGGCTGAGTAATGAAAATTTATTTCCCAAAAGGATTACTTAGTACATATAGCTAAGTTATAACAAGCGAGGTGAATTACTAAATGCTAATTACTATTCGCTTTATAATGTTGATTCCATCATCATTATGATCATAGGTCAGGGAAACTGTCACTAGTAATTGGTAGGAATCAAGTTTAATGACATAAAGAATCAGGAAGTAATAAATATTATAACAAAGAATAAAAAACGATAAACAAATGTCAAGTTTTAAAAATAAATTCCTTAGGAAATGATTGTGCCCTTATTACCAGTTAATACCATAAGCAATAACATTCTGTTCGGTGTTGAAATAAAAGTTACGAATCAGCGAAATAATTATATAAATTAGTACGGTATGTAATAACCACTTTCATATAAATCATGCTCTTGCAGAACTGAAATTTCAACATTTGGATCATTTATTCGGTAACATCGCCCTTCAACCCACATTAATTCGGGTTTTAGAATATCGTTCATTTTCGTCACAATAAGAATCCTTCTAAATTGTTTACCAATTTCACAATTTGTACTAACTCTAACGATGGGCGCGTCCACGGTCTTTTCGTCTCTTCACTTTTCAGTCCATTTTTTTTTTTTTTTTTTTTTTTTTTTTTTTTGGCTGGATGAGCCACTGTTGGCCTTAGGGGCCTTCACAGATCCGACGGACTTGAGGTGGCCGGGCGCTCGAGGCGCCTAGCCTGAACCTCGCGTATTTACTATTACGCGTTATGGTGACTAAGCTCGAGGGCTCCCGAAGGAACCTCGGCTCGGGCCGTCACGCTATTTAATTCACCGGTTTGGGAGGCCGCCTAGCTCTTAGGGCGCTTTGGCGGGGGCTCCATGGAGTGATCTGGCTCAAGGGTCCCCGAGAGGGGACCTCGGCTTGGGCTGTCACTCAGCACGCGTTTAGCATTCCGATTCGAGGGTGCCCGAGAGGGCCGGACCTCGGCTCGATCGGTAGCTGTTATCTGACTGGGGGGATCTCTAGAGCTATCATTACTACCACTTCGTAAAGCGTTGGCGCTGGGAGAAGAAGTGGCGGAAGAAACTCCAGCAACGCTTCTATCTTGAACTGGGGAGAACCTGCCAGGTACGTGGCGGAACCTAGTATATGTTTGCCGCACTCGCCGGCGAGTGCGGTTTGTGTTGGTGTGCTTGCGAAGTTTTTTAATCCTTTCGATGGCGATAGTCGTCTCATCGTCAGGGAAATCGAGAACGTGTCGCGGTCTACGGTGATTGCGGCGGAACGTACCTAGCGGCAGGGGTCTGTAGGTGGCGGCACCTACGATTAGCGGGTTGGGATGCGCGGCGGCGGAATCGAAGTATCGGCGCGACGCCGACTTCAGGAATTGAGCGATGGTGGGCAACTCTAAATCGACATGAAGGTCGATATTGCGCATGTACCAGGGTGCTCCCGTGGCTCTGCGCAAAAATCGATTTTGGATGACCTGAAGCCGGTGAATTTGCTTCGGAGCAATGTGTGCGAAAACTGGACTCGCGTACGTCATTATAGGGCGAACTACTGCCTTATATAGAGTCACCTTGTTCCGAAGGGACATTTTAGACGTTTTGTTAAGGAGCGGATGGAGGCGACCGAGTACGAAGGCCGCCCGGTTCTTGACCCGAGTCACGTGCTGGTTAAATCTTAGTTGGGAGTCAAGGACGACACCTAAATATTTAACTTTGTTCACCCATGGTATCGGACTATCCATGAGTTTAACGGGGGGTGGTTTATCTACATTTTTGTGCGAAAAAAGGACGGCCGCGCTCTTGGCGGGATTGATTTCGATCCTCCATTGCCGAAAACCAGTCACCGATGGTGATGGCTGCAGCTTGGAGGCGTCGATGGATAATTTCAGATGTTCTGCCTGTTGTATAGAGACAGGTGTCGTCGGCAAATAGGGCAAGTTCTACATCTTTGACTCGCGGCATGTCATTGGTGTAGAGCGTAAAAAGGACTGGGCCCAACACCGACCCTTGAGGCACCCCGGCTCGAACGGGATGCGTTGTCGAACACACGCCTTCGACGCGATAGCGAAAGGTCCGATTACTAAGGAAGTCTCGTATTATGCATACGAGACGATCGGGCACTTCGAGTTCGTATAACTTGTATACGAGCCCGTTGTGCCAGACTTTATCGAAGGCCTTTGCCACGTCCAAGAAGAGTGCTCCGGTGTTGAGTCCGCGTTGGCGTTTAACTAGTATGTGCTCCGTGATGCGGTGCACTTGGTGGGTGCAAGAATGTTTGGCTCTAAAGCCAAACCTGTTCCGGGACGGGGAGCCCTTTGGCGTCCATAAGGGATCTCAGTCGGGCTAATATAAGTCTTTCAAAGATCTTCCCAAATGTTTTGAGAAGACTTATTGGACGATAAGAGGTTGGGAGGGTCGCGGGTTTGTGGGGTTTGAGGAACCCTATTACGTCAGCTTCTTTCCACTCGGACGGGAAGAAGCCTTCGGTTATAGCCGCGTTGTAAATTAGGACTAGTATCTGAAGGATGCTAGTAGGGAGAAGTTTGGTCACCTTATTGGTGATACCATCTGATCCAGGCGCTTTGCGTGGGCGCAGTTTGTTAATTACTTCTGTGAGTTCCGAGCACGTGACCGGGGGAACGGGATCGCGGAGTGGTTCCGATGCTTTCCTTTCGACCTCTTCGTTCACCTTGCGGAGGTGATCGGGGTGGGTCGGAAGCAAGCTGGGGGAGCATTGGGCCTCTAGACTGTCAGCTAGGCATTCGGCTTTCTCTTCGTCCAGCATTGCTGGCGTTCCTATCGGGCGAATTCAGTCCATACCATAGATAAGACATATATACTGGTCCATACATTTGATATTTGTATGGCTATGGAGCTTGCTCATTCCGTTTAGTTCCATCCGTCAAAAACAGATGGCGTCGTTTTAAATGCAAAACCATTTTAGGTATGGTACCATTAAATTAAAAAACAAAATCTTATTTTAAGTTAAAATAAATTTATAAAAAAAATGATGTACGGTTCTTATTTTGGAAAAAAAATATTTTCTTAAACAAAAAATATTAATGTGAAAGAAAACAACTAAGCAAAATGCTGGAAGTAATTTTAACCAGTGTAACGGAACGTTACCTACCTAACTGCGGCACGGATGCCAACTTAGGAGTTTTCTTCCTAAATTTAGGAATAAAAATTTACAATAGAAAATTTTTAGGAGAAGAAATTGTTTGGGAATATTTTTAGTAAAAAAAAATAATTTACATTTTTTTTTTTAAAAATTACATAATTTTAAACTCAAATAATGTAATAGTATTGGCAGCATTGGCCTATGTAGTATTTTAAATTGTTCCGCCATAAACTCTTATTGAAAGTTTATAGCGTAAGTAAGTAACATAAAATGCCAAATGGTGAGAAAATTGCTATCGGATATGTTCAAAAGTATGCAGCTAAGTGGGAAAAAGACAATGAATTTACAGGTATGTTTCATTCAGATACTTATAATTGAATGATACTTATTCCCATTATTTATTGTCTGATTCTTAAAAATAATGAAAATGATAATAACGTCACAATACAATGTATTTAATTTGTATAAATATTTTTCAAGAAACCGGTGAAAAAACCGGTTTTTAATAGAACCTATTAAAACCGGTTTTTTAGCTTAAGAAAACCGGTTATATTGAAAGCAAAATATTGATCCATCTATCACTTAGTACGACATCTTACGCTTAAACCAAGTACCATATAACAAACAGAGAACGGAAATCTACGACAAGTGAGTAAGCACTTTGCGCTAGATGTATTAGAAAGTATTTTTTATATGTAATAAAGCATTTTAATTTAAATGGTGGTAGGGCCACGCAGCAGCCTCAGCTGTTGCACGAATGGGCAGGCCCGCCCGGGTAAGTACCACGACCTCACAGAAAACCAGCGTAAAGTGGAAGTATGACAAATACTTTCGCGTTTCGTCTAGTGAGTGAGGTAGCCGGAGCCCAATTTTCAAAAGGTTGTCAACGCATCTGTAACCCTCGGGTGTGGCAGATGTCCATGGGCGGCGGTATTCACTTAACATCAAGTGAACCGTTTGCTCGTTTGACAACTTTTCGCATAAAAAAAGCATTTTAATTACAGCCACAATCCACAAAACCTACAAAATCCCTTTAAATGTCTATACAGGTCGCTGTTTCTCCCTTACCTGCGGTTTATGGGCATCATGACTTTAGTCCAGTAAGCTCTTTTTACAAAGCTTAATAAAAAACCTTTAAAAACCTAAAAAAAACGGTTTTCTTTTTAAAGTAATCGGTATAAAACCGGTGTGTAAAATTGTAATCGGTTCACATCTCTGGACCTCACCTCGGCTTCACGGCAATTCGCTGCTAATATCGATTCGATGTCAACTCCGAGTCGAGCGAGCTGGCGAGATACATAATGAACGAGTCAGAGTTAGAAAGAAACAATGATTTGAAGTCGGCTCCAAGTCGAGTAAGCTAGCGATTCGCGCCATTCAATCTCACGTCTAAATCAGTGTTGACAGACGGAAATTTGAAATTGACCCAAGTCGTTGATCGCTGATTACTTTGTTTACTTTTTTAAAATAATAGCCGATAATATGCTTTTATATAATAGGCTTTTATAATATAAAAAGTGATTATTTATAAATATTATATTATACATATATTTATTATCGTTCGATATGCTAACGCCATATCGAACGATAATTCGTTATCTATAAATATTGTATATTTATAAATAGATAGCGAAGTTGCGAATGGAGCTTGAGTTGTAATGAAACACATTCCGATTTCGTGATCCATGATTATTAACCGACTTCAAAAAAGGAGGTTTCTCAATTCGGCCGTATATTTTTTTTGTGTGTTAGTGGATAACTTCGTCGTTTATGAACCGATTTTTATGATTCTTTTTTTGGTAGAAAGGAGAT